CATTCTAAGGTAACAAAAACAGGATTCAGGTGATTAAACACTGATGGAACATACCTATGAATATTAAATCACACTAATGTTACACACTGGAGCTTTAAAGTCAAAGTCTGTAAGTATTATCAGTGGACCCACTGGATGTTAATGAAACAGAACAGAGTCATCTGCTAGTTGCTTTAATTTCTGACTCAAACAGACCGGTAATAGCTCAGAGAACTCCCTGCTGAAATCTGTCTGTAAATGAAGTGAGACCACAGTCCAAACACTTTTCTCTCTGATGCATTTGATCTTTTATTACACTTGTTGAAGTGGAGTATTGAACTGACACATACTTGTTTTTTGTCCCGTCCCTGAGTGGCACAAAATCAATCAGTGTTTCACACATAGAGACGCAGGAACATGCAGACACTCACAACACTGCTGTTAGAGTAGACTACCTGCTGGACTACTGCACGTCGCCTCAGTTACCCGCGAGGAATCGATCAGTTTTTCTTTCTTTCCACCAATCAGAAAGTACAAAGAATACTATATGATGTTTGAGTTGGTACGAACAGAAACACCACGGCAACACCGACATGCATGGCTCTAATAACACATCTAGTTTTCTGTCCTCCGCTCACACACTCAAACATTAGCACTGAAGGGTACAGTTAGGCATCTACAAAGGTCCTCAGCTGGTCTTCATATTGTACCCCTATTTAATAATTTATGCCAAAACAAAAACTCAATTTCTCTGTATTTTTATATCAAAATCCAATTTTTGACTGAATGTGACGTGTGCTATCGTGGAACAACCAATTTCAACCAATCATGTGTTTCTGGAGTCTGGTGGGAAGTGATAGTGATATTACAGCTGTTTGTGGTTAAACTAAAGGTCTATCTCTGTAGGGATCATTTCATAATGCTGTCAGACACTGAAAATAACAACCTGAATCTTACGTTGCTGCCGTAAACATTTGTGATTTAACTTGGTCAATTAAGGATTAATGATTGTGGGAAAGATGGTTTTGGTGAGTTTTGTTTAATTTTATCTTTGAATTTTGCATACATGACCTTTAAAGAAGCTGAAAATGGGAATACACTGTTGTTACTGCTTTTACTAGAGACTCCCAACAGCCGGTTGGTCTACAAGAGAGACAAAGTAAGAAGACCATCTTATACTTCACAGTCATCTGACTTTTTACCTCAAATGGTCGTCTGCTCCTGCTGTGTATATCTGTACTGTTAATCTGATGAATGTCTGACAGGGAGTGGAGCTATTTCTAAGAACAATTACCAAACAAACCAGTCTAAATATCCCCAGCAGTCGGACCAGGAGCGCGTTTTTGATTCAACAGAATCATAATTAAAAACTGACAGCGCTCCAACTGTTGCACTCTATAATTTATTTATGTTCAACATAAAACACCTTTAAATCTGCACAAACATGCAGCCGAGGTCTCAGGTGTCGGACGCACCGCAGGCGTCTTCTGCAGAGCGAGATAACAGCGAGCACTGTTCTCTCTTCTTTCAAGAGGTCCTGCAACCCCCGGGGATGTCTTCCTCACTGCCTGTCACATTTCTGGGACAGCGCACACAAACACTGTTTTAAGTGCTTATATAACAGCAGAAACACTGCTGTAGCCTCTCACAGCTGCAGGAGCAGCTCTCTGCCAGCGGCTGCAGCCTGACTTATAGCAAGTATAGAAAACTGGTCGATGTCACTCTGCAGCCCATGTTTAATTTGTATCCTTCGGTGTCTGCAACCAACTTTATTTTAAGTAGTCTGGACTCCAGATGCAGTGTTGCCAAATTGTAACCAGGGCACTTAAAGAAAGAAACAGACAGAATCTAACCCAGAAATTACTTAGTGATGAGTATGCAAGTTCTTTCACCATGAGGAGCTCCACATCAATATACATTTGATTGACGTTCTAATAGTAAATAATTTATGTTCTGATTAATAAAAGACGGACAGGTTATATCTTTTCCTCCTTTATGACAAATACAAATATGCCCTTAAGTTAAAATATTGGTGCACTACAGGGGAGAGTCCCAGGGTGCTTCACCTCCAATACTTTGTAAAAGCATACAGTTGCTCACACTGCAGGACAAACAGAAGCACATGGGGGTGAGGAAGACACAGCCAGACTGCATGCAATAGTGACAATTAATTATACTCACACTAAAAAGGCAAAATGGTGTGCAATAGAACCTCCAGCCAGGAACCAAGCACCTGCAGGAATACAGCAACCCAACCCTCCTGTTTGATTAATCAGTGTAACAGCTGGTTTAATAAAGCTGATACAAATATTATATTTTATGCTCCACTGAGCGGGACAATGAAAAAGGCAACTCAACAATCAATAAAGACACTTGTCACTGGAATGTTTCAGGTAAACAATCAGACAATAACCACAAATTAAGACACAAGGAGCAAAGAACTGAGAAACACAACGAAATAAGAGCTCCTCCTAATGGGGCAAAATAACACAATATTAACTAATCTGAATGTTTCCACCAGTAAGGAAACACTAACTACCTTCACCAAGTAGGGCAGAACTAGATAATGGATGGAAAACCTACACCATATCCCTCGTTCCTGTTACAGCAGGGAGACATGGACTGCAGACCATCTGAACAATCAGCCCTCGTGCTCCTCCGGCCCACACAGGACTCAGACAGGGCTGCACCACTGTAAACACAATGCTAACGCTACATCCAGCTAGCTCTGGTCCGACTGCTAGTGGGATCTGCTAAGATGCCCGAAAATACTTAAACATGCACAGCAGGTAAGAAAAACAGGTGTTGCTGTCCCTCAGCAGCAGTAACAAGGTCAGGATAGACTGCGAGGCGACCGTCCACCTCAATGCCTACAGCGGCTTTTACACTCTGAG